GGAGCCCGGCCGAGAGGGGCCCCCGCAGCAGGCAAGCAGGAGCCCGGCCGAGAGGGGCCCCCGCAGCAGGTGAACGTGAGGCCAGCTATGATTGACTCCAGCAGGTAGAGGGTGAGAGCCCTCAAACACGCCTTTCTGTCCCCATAGTTCACATCCTACAATCTGTCCCCATCCACATCCCGACCTCGTTGTCACAAGCTTAGCAATGGCCCCAGATGGCAGCTCGACCAGGTGGCGAGACTGAGGTCCCCCATAGAGGACACAGCAATCAGGCTGAATCTCCAGGACAGATGGCAATCTGCCTGCCTGCTCAGGCACAGGAATGCAAAGGACAAGCTGGAGGTCTTAGGGCAGATGCAGACCAGGGGGTGCTAGGTCTCCCATACCCCAAGAAAGTCTGGCATCCCTCCCACCCAGTGTGGCTCCCACATCGGAGCCATTCACCCTAGGAGGACCCCACCCATCACAAAAGGCTGGAATAACTCTAACCCCGTCAATCACAGGTATGGCCCACTAGGAACAAGGATGGCCCGCCGGGGGGGACAGGGACAGCCTGCCAGGGACAGGGACGGCCCGCCGGGGACAGGGATGGCCCGCCGGGGACAGGGACGGCCTGCCGGGGACAGTGAGAGCTCCCCGGGGACAGGGACGGCCCGTCGGGGACAGGGACGGCCCGCCGGGGACAGGGACGGCCCGCCGGGGACAGTGAGAGCTCCCCGGGGACAGGGACGGCCCGCCGGGGACAGGGACGGCCCGTCGGGGACAGTGAGAGCTCCCCGGGGACAGGGACGGCCTGCCGGGGACAGTGAGAGCTCTCCGGGGACAGGGACGGCCCGCCAGGGACAGGGACGGCCCGCCGGGGACAGGGACGGCCCGCCGGGGACAGGGACGGCCTGCCGGGGACAGTGAGAGCTCCCCGGGGACAGGGACGGCCTGCCGGGGACAGGGACGGCCTGCCGGGGACAGGGATGGCCCGCCGGGGGGGACAGGGACAGCCTGCCGGGGACAGGGACGGCCCGCCGGGGACAGGGACGGCCCGCCGGGGACAGTGAGAGCTCCCCGGGGACAGGAACGGCCTGCCAGGGACAGGGTGCTCTTGTGAGACACACCGTGGCATACGGGAGCCTCGCCCGTGACCTTCGCCCTCGTGCGATTACGTGCCTGCCCACGTGCGGCTGTTTGCCCAGCCTCTAGTACAAACAGCAACACCCTGGCATTCTGGCCCAGCCCTGGAATTTCTGTCAGTGAGGAGACACTGGTCGCCACTCTGCGCCAACTTGGCCGAGGTGACCTCGACGGACCAGCCGGGACGTCCGAGCCCGTGGGCCACCCTAAATGACACTATAGAGGCTGACAGAAGCTACCCCCACACCAACCCATAGGCGCCGTTAGCAAACGGACATTCAGACATCATGCTAGCCTGTGATGACAGTACTTTTTTGAAGAACATAGAGTTTGATATTAGAGATTCATTTTGCACAAGAACATCGCTATATTATGGTCTGAAATCCATGATAAAACTCTATGTACGTATCAAAGTACAAAGTTAACTACCAGAGGATGAAAAAGTACTCACACATACCAAAGTCAAATTCAAGCCTATTTATTGAGTGTAAAAAAATTTCAAATTACATTTCTCTTAATTATCAGACGTGAAGATCAGGATCGTAGTATAAATAGCAGTTACCAGAAATAAAAACATGTTGACTAATATTACTACTTCCTGCTGGTGTGCACACACACACACACACACACACACACAGACACACACGTCGGGTAAACATATTTTTATGGGGACCGCTCATATATTTCTATGGGAAAAAGGCTAACGCTAACTATGACAACCTTAACCCCTACCCAACCCTAACCATAACCATAAGTAACCAAACGAAATACAAGAGTTTTTGCATTTTTAGTTTTTTCATTGAAGTCACAGATTTATATTAAATAGAGTTTTACCTTATGGGGACCAGGAAACTGGGGAAAAAATTAGTATCCATCATGTTGTGGGGACATTGACATTGCGTACGTGTATGTATGTATGTATATATATATATATATATATATATATATATATATATATATTAGATACATTATTCATTTTGCAGTTTTAAAGGCAGAGTGCCCCTCCGCTGTGTCACCACAGCATGGCCATAGGTTTGCATCCTGACTTCCTGTTTGACTGGACACAGAGCAAACCTTTATGGAAGCAAAGACCCCCAAGGAGAATTTTAAGTACATGCAAACTTAACAAACTCCACATCACAGTAAGATGTTTGATGTTAATTTTATTTTAGTTTAGTCAGACAAACAAACCAGCAGAAGGTGTTTCCCAGAAACCCCACACTGACAACAGAACCGAAATTCCAGGGACCCCTTTAAATGAATTTCCCGATAGAATCTTACAGGGACAAGCAGGTCCATGAAATGTCAGAACTTCCTGTGTGACGCCATCGCACATCACCAGCTTCCTGCCACACGTCTGCCTTACTCAGGCATCTCGCCGGAAGGTTCCAAGCAAAGGCTTCCAATGCCTTCCAAGATCACTGAAAACTCCTCCCAACAGGGGAACTGTCCTTAAAGAAAACTGCAAACATTCAGAACTTACCCTTTAATGCTGAACCAGAACACACACACACACACACACACACATGTCTGAAAATGTCATTTTTTGGGTACTTGGCTCATTGCTCGGCCACCAAACGTCAAACAGCCCACAGGGGTGACTAACATGTTCTCCGTGCTTCAAACGACACGTCACTGAATATCTTCACCCAAACCCCACATACACTGCATTGCACAAATGTGGAGTCACTGGTCCAACCTGAACATTTCTAATTAAAAGTCTAGCTGTGAGCGCATTGCGGACGCACTCAGGTTAGGTATCCGCTCGCTTCTGCAATATGAAACGACTCACACGGCTCGGATCAGCAGGCAGAGGTGATGCTAGAGATTTTGGGCCCCTTGAAAATATATCATATTGGGCTTCCAACCCAGATCAATTCAATTATATTCCAATTTTTTGCCCCCCTCTCCCACCACCTATGGAGGAGGTCCCTAGAGCAAATCCTGAGGTCAGCAGAGTGATTTCCCCATTGGGCCCCTGAGCGAGGCCCTTAACCCCGAGCGGACTAGACACTTCTTACTTTCTCAGTTGCATGTCGCTTAGCTTTGCAGTCATGTCATTTTAAAATACTCAACAGGTTATAACACAGGACATCCCATCTCTTAGCAATGGTCTCCAGCACAGACCACATCGACCCGATGGAAACTTTCCACATCGGGGTTTCGATATATCGCGGGGTCGGCATAACAAAATAAATGTAACCTTTTGGGGTGACAGGAGCTATAAAAAAAATCGGAACGTAATTGGATTGGTCGGGGTACTTGTAAAAATCCCATTGTTTACCCCAGTGCCTAATACTACTTAACAAAAATTAAGCAAACTGAATGCGGTTTTATTTCATCTAAATTCTGTCAGATGTTCCAGCATATGTGGTTTGTGGGCAAATCTCCACTCCTCTGATCTGCTAACTCTATGTCACCAAGGACCTCATCAAAACAAACAGAAATATATGCAGATTCAAAGCAGTCTGGCATTGTGGCCAGAAAGCAGGATCGCACAGGAAGACCTCACACGCCGGCCGCAGGCAAGGAAGTCAAAGGATGAATGTGCGCACACACCTAAGTAATGATGGCCACCTACGGATCACACATCCACCCACGCTGACTGCATTCTCCCCGCAGGACACATCATCTTGAGCAGACTTCGCCCAGTGAAGCAATATTATGAAAGCGTGATTAAAGGGGAATTTAGGCAGATCGCTTAAACTTAGTAACTTCGCCCAGGTCCAGGAAACCGCACTTGGGTCGCCGATGCCCCCTCCGCCCCAGGACACACGTCTCAAGAGACTGTCAGGGCAGCTTCATGTCAAACGCGACTAAATCGGCGCTGAAGTGCCATGCAGCGCCTTAATTCCGCACGTCAGCCCCCCCCAAGTATGTATTTATTTTTCAATTAACGAAGCAGGATTTTTGGCAGCTCAGAAAAGGCATTTATTCACGCAGCGCCTGTTTAATTTGCCGCTCCCTTTTACCGTCCACTCCGGAACTTAATTAATAAGCTTTATTTCTGACAGTTTTGTTCGGTATCCGGATGGTACTGGATTTTAAAGCTACTATGGACCCGAAACACAGCACTACAGTGTTTCAATCGGAGGCAGGGGAAATGCGTTAAAAGTATACTCTTTTCCTGACAGCACATGTTGATTTCGCAAATAATCATCATCCGTATAGAAACATCTGTCAACTTGATGGAGGCGCAGATGTATCATGTAACTATGACGGTCAGATTAGCGGTCTCATCACTGCCAATGAAAACGTTCCCAAAATGGACCGAGAATCCCACTTTGGGGGACAGGGTGTAAGAGAATAAGAGATGGACAGGGATAGTTGTACGGTGCCCAAAGCTCGCATCACCTACCTTGTCTGACGGTTCTGAATCGAACCGGACCTTTGCAATTCTTCACCACTTCCAGCACATCATACAGGGGCAATCCAGACACCGAAAGGCCTTCTACCTCCAATATTAATTCCCCCTCGGTCAGTCCACCGTACTGATATGTCACTAAATCCTCGTTGATATCATCCACATAGGAGAACTGCCCATTCTCAGCTCCGCCACGCAGCTCCACATGGAAACCCCCCCGTTCGTCTCTGCACAGCGAACTCTCCGTAAGTTTGCTGCTCCAGTGGTTCTTCTTCTGCACCACACGGGACATAGTGATTCAAGTCCGATAAAAAAAACAGGTGGTCCCACAGCCGCTTACAGGGACGGCAGAAAATGAGATGCTGATCTGCAGAAGAACGCTGAAAACTTTCTTTCCTTCTGCCAATAAGAAGATCCCAATCGTAAAATAAACTGTCATCTGCACAATCAAGCCATTCTCATCTAATATCCACCTTTACGTAGTTTTTTTCCCAGCTTTTATGTCCCCGGTGTCTCATGTTCTACAACATCTTGATCCTTCTTGCACCGCCAGGTTTAGTTTCATTAACATCCACACTTGTTCTCTGCGCAGCTTTTTCCTACTTTTTTCTTGGCCAACACTTTTCACGATTTCTTCTTACAAGCCCGCAAAGAGAGAATAAAAGCCTTCACCAAATCCACACGCTATTTGCGTTCGTGGTTTCAAGCGATCAGGCTGCCTTTAAGCAGGTACTGCGCCGCCGATCGTTTGCTTATGTTTCATCCTACTGTTTGTCCCAGCGATCGGGACCTTCTGATAGTAAAGCCGGCGCATGCGCACTGCCTCCCTCCGGAGCCCTGAAGGGAAATCCTGGCTGCCCTTATTACAGGGTCCTAATGCTCCAAACTTGCTTAAATAGCGCGAATGATTTACAAAGGTAACTTAACTAAATGGGATAAGACAATTGAACAGAAAGTGAAAATATGCTTTGAAATCCGAGTTCTTAGCGTATACTTACTATGTATATGGTTCTGAGCAGGATACGTGATTGGTACATAGACGCATGGAAGTGGCTGGTGTAGGCTCAGTGGACACGTTTGCGATACTTCAGACCACTACTTACTGCCACCCTTACTTGACCCTGTAGATCCAGTTTTCCCAGTTGTTAGTAGATAATTAATTATTTATCAAATATTTTCTTACATATAGTACAAAGCGTTAATAAATAATAAATAGTAATAGTAATAAATAATGACGATAATATCCCTGACAGGAGGGGAAGGTTTTATGAGATCAGATGATTTGCACACCTTGCGGAAAAAAATCGCAAGTTTTCCACTCCTAAAAATAACCCCCAAAGTACCCTGGGCTTTAGGAGAGGACGGCGCGTGGCCATTAAGGGACGGATGCAGAGCTTAAGAAGACCCGCAACGGTGCCGGTCAGACCCACGGAGCTCGTCTGTCACTGGCATCAGATAATAATAATGATAATAATAATAATAATAATAATATTCTGTACACAATTTGGGTTGTACAACTCCAGTGTTAAATTTCTATGCAGGGAAACTTCCAGATGCTCACTTGGCACATTGACAAGCTGACCAGTTCATATCATGCCGTTATCTTTCTTATTTACTTACGTAATCACCAGGCACATCAAGTGCTCTCATGTTTTTCTAAGCAGTTCGATACTCCGCAATCATATTGTCTCTTTGTGCTCCATAAGTCACCCTGGCCAGGTTGTTAAACTACCTGAAGCCTCCTATTAAAATATTTTAAGTGTTTCGTTGTAACCTCACACACCATCGCTGGGCAGCATTACTGCTTGACCAGCACTGTTATCAAGATTCTTGCCCAATTCTGGTATCTGCTTCAGTGACTGCCTTTTCATCCACATAATGCATCCCTAATGCTACGAAGGTAAAGGAAGTCAGTCATTTGCTCAGATCTATGGTCAGATTACAGAGGCATATACGGGGGGGGGGGGTCTCGGGTGAGACAGGAGCCAGCCCAGGCAACTTAGGGCAGTGGGAGGGGGGACGGCCCACACAGGGCGGGGGGAGGCAGACTCAGCATAGCAGCAGCAAATTACCTACATTTGTGGATGATGGGAGGAAAATCTCCCCCCCCCCCTGCAAACACAGGGCCAGGGGAGGGACACAGACCCCCCATCATCCACTGGGGCACCACACCGCCCACAAAACAATATCTGTGTATCATTCTCATAACTGTCAGTTCCCTGTCGCTACTGTTTAAGATGGCAACATGGCTTCTCGCATAATAATTATCTCTGAAATATGAATGAATGTCAAGACTTTCCTGAAAGTTTTCTATTTATAGAACCGGATCAACACATCAGTCAGAGGGTCCACCCAGATGAAAACACTGATATATTAATTATACTTAATGTTATAGATATAGAGACAAAATATTAATTTTAATGACAAAGACTGAATGTGCTAGCTGGTTCTCCACACTTATTCTGGGAATAAAGTACGACATCCACATTATAAATGTCCGGCAAGTCCATTAGTGAATCTCATACCCCTTTTAATTTAACATACTGAGCTCCATCCAAGAATGTAATATTAGAGGTTTGCTGTAGCAAGATCCCATAATCAGCGCTAAACCGTCCAGTTCATACTGAGCCAACAGCAGCCCTTTCCATCACTGGCTGCAGTCAATTAGTGAAAATCGCAATTAAGTGGCTTTTGGGATAAAATGTAGTTAAATTGCAAATGCATGTAATCAAAAACTCTTAATTTCCTGGACCTTGGTTTGTTCTATTACATGGAGCGAAACACAACACAGGGACAGTTTTCCCTAAAAGTGGGTCCCTGTTTCACTCCTGCTCCTTTTCAGTGCTGTCCAGAGAGTGCAGAAAAAAACTGTGATTAAATTGGAGGCTAGAGGTCATAAATGAACAGTTCCACTGCCTTCTGGAGCAGGGCTCTGCCATGCGGCCCTGACAGTCACGTTGGGGGGGGGGGATGTTGGTTCATCTCCGGGTGGCTGCGCTTAGCATGAGCCCAAGTGCCCTCATTGTGTTCTGTAGGTGCTGCATACTCCTGAGACGCCTTGTCCTCGACGCAGTGACCTGTCAGCCCCGCTATTACTATCGCCTGCTCAAATTACCCACGATGCCCATGAATAATGGTTGCATGCTTATTGGCTTGAGTAGACTGTCAGCAGAGAAATCCTCGATGTTCACGCCCTGTGGTATTATCCTGTTTCGGTGTAGTATTTTCCAGGCTGAATCGAAGTGAAACATGGACGGTATCGAAGAACATCCAGGTCACTTTAGCAGGCTGCCGGCCTCCTGCCCCGAACCACCTTCTCCATCAGGGTAATCGCAGTTTGCTTTTTCTGTAAATATGAGGCTGAATGGTCACCAACCCCCTGGACCCTGAAATGCCTCAAATCCCCTGTCACTGCCTCAGGATGAGTTAGAAAGATGTAGAGGAGAAATGATTGGAGCCATAAGCTTCCCCTCTTTCCAGGACACCGTGACTCTGAGATCTCCTCGCCCATTAAATAATAACCCCCCCCCCCCCCCCCCGCCTTCTGCCAGGCCCCTCACAAATCAAAGAGCCCCTGCAGAAGCTTGTATTGAAAAAACAGTTAAAGGCAGCATTAAAACTGGTGGTGGGGTGGGGGGTGTTTATTGCGTATGTCTATATTTACCTCTGTTCACTATGACTCAGTAAATTGGAATTTTAATTTTTGTCGCAGCATCCAGAGGGAGACTAATTCTTCAGTTTAATTAAACTGATAGTGTATGCCTTGTTTGCTTTGAAACACTAGTAGCACGTCATCTGTCCTTGTTACCGTAAGCTACTATTGTAACATGTGCATTGTAATTGTACAAATAATGGATTCAATGTATATTGTCAGCCTTGTGGAATGAAATAATCCGAATTGCGTTAAATCGGGCGAGATTAATCAGTGGTACAGATATAGGACAGAATGTCTGTACAAATTGTGTTCAGAAACCACCCTTTCGTAATTGATCCAGTTGCTGTGTCTCTGACTCCCAGCCTCTAACTCCCGGCTCTGACTCCCGGCCTCTGACTTCCAGCCTCTAACTCCCGGCTCTGAGTCGTGGCTCTGACTCCCGGCCTCTAACTCCCAGCTCTGACTCCCAACCTCTGACTCCCAGCTCTGACTCCCGATCTCTGACTCCTGGCTCTGACTTCCAGCCTCTAACTCCCGGCTCTGACTCCCTGGCTCTGACTCCCTGGCTCTGACTCCCGGCTCTGACTCCCAGTCTCTGGATCCCGGCAAGTGGCTGGCTGCTGCAGTGGCTCCATTGTCTTCATTTGCTTACTCTGTTTTTATGTAGCTTTTTAAATATGTTCAATGGCTACCAAGATGTGGGACAGGAATGTCTTCTTTGCTAATGTATGAATTTCACGTTATCGTATTACCAGACTCTCCCTGTAGGTGAACCGAATCAAACGGCGCTGTGGATCAGTCGATAGCGCTGTTGCCTCACCCTTCCATAGGTTGTGGGTTTAAATCCTGCTGTCTGCGATGTGTGTGTGGCATTTGCTCCTCCTTGTGATGTCTGGGTGTCTCCTGGCTACTGTGGGTTCCTCATGCAGTACAAAGACACAAAGATAGTCAGCGTATTTGTCTTCACACAGTGCCCTCTGATGGACTGGCATCCCAATAGGGGTGCCCTCCAGTTGCCCAGCCTTTGCCTTGTGCTGCCTGGGATAGGCTCCAGGCCCCCTGTATGGAATGATCAGTGGGAAGATGGATGGGTACCATTGATTCTTTGTTAGAATTAATTTAAAAGTTACACCTGTTGTTATAGACTATACAGCTACTTTAAGATAATGGAAGACAATCTCATTAAAACCTCTTTCTTTTGGGATTATTAATTTTGCCATTAAAAACACCATTAGTTGCATATCGCTTCTCCTTGGCTATAACTAATCTTTACATAAACATATATTCAGAAGATTACACTGTACGGTCAGTGTCCCTCCAAGGCCTGGAAGATCATCTGCTCATGGGATTTTAAACAGGACTAATTTCTCACTGCAGGGGCACCGACACGCGGATTACAGACGGCATCTGTCTGCTCTGCCACGCCAAAAAGCTGGTCCTTCCACATGACAGTGGGGAGCTGCCAGGACAGGGCGTTGTCAAAGACGAGGACGCCATGTGTCGTCACCCGCACACTGATGTCGGGAGGAACCCCCCCCCCACTAGGCCACATATGATGATTCACAGCTAGAATGGTCTCCAAGCAGACCTGATTGCTGAGGTACGTTTCAGCACTTTAATTTAATCAGGAGTGTCACTTGAGATCTACAAAAAGGAGGGCTAAGCCTTCATTGGAAATGGACCAGATTATTTGAACTAATCAGTGTACATTAATCTGGGTGGGGGGGCTGAAAAACATTTCAGGGGGGCAAACTTACACTGGACTATAGCCTACTGTCTGAGAAGAGCCATTCTCCAGGATGGCTTTTCATGGTGCTTCTCAAGAAATACCAGAGACTTGAGGGTGGAGAGTAAAGGGCAGCAAAATGGGGGGGGGGGGGGGGGGC